ACACACACACACACACACACACACACACACACACACACACACACACACAGAGGCACACGCGCGAAAGCACCACGGATCGTCAACTAAAAACTATTGTTCTTCAGAGAACACAGTTAGGAACACGTTGCCATACTGGTTTTCACGACTCCGTCCTCCGCACCATGTGCGTTCTCCTCAAACGTGTACATTCCCAGCAAACGCGTCTGCAAGATGGACAACTCCAACAACAACTCCAACCGAAAGTCCCTGGGGAATACGCACCTCGAAGTAGGATCCATCGCCGATCGATCGATTCTCGGAAGACGCGTCGGTGTCGGACAGGTCGGCTCTACTAGCGGCGGGATCCTCGTGGTATCGCGATCTCGGTGTTCTGTGGCGTCTGGTACGCGACGAACGAGTCGACTGACCCAGCAACTCCTTTCCAGATGTTTTAGAGTGTTTACGGCTGAGCCGTGGCTGCTTCGTGACTGGCTCCTCGTCGCTGTCGCTGCTGTAGCGGCAGGCCACCGAATTCTGAAACACACACACACCGAAAACACGTCGGTCACACTTCGTTTGATAATCTACTGTGTCCCACCTCGGTTTCCCGATCCTATCGGGAAACGCTTGTTTGTAAATCGGGCTGATCGCCACATGCGTGTTTGCGGGACTGTCAGGACAGGAATGGAATCAGGATCAGTATACATCTTTGGACACATTTATTTTTGCGCTTTTAGTTCTTGTGATTCGACTGGCGACTGGTTCGCGGACCATAACGAGTGACCGAACCGTATACAACAATTCGTCGCTTTCTTCTTTCGTTTGGACTCGTGTCGGTACGATATCGCTGGATAGAAATTATTAACTAATTATTATTAGGTGACTAAATTATTACTAATCATTCAGAACACGTTACTTTCTTCCGTTGCTGTATCATTTATGTCGAATGCTACGAAAAAAATACTAAAGTTTCAGAAACCTCGATTGTAGAAAATAGAAAATATATAACAAATATATAAATCGAATAAAAAATATATATCGAATATATAAATATAAAATACTAAAGTATATAAATACATAAATATAAAAATATAAAAATATATAAATATAAAATACTAAAGTATATAAATACATAAATATAAAAATATAAAAATATATAAATATAAAATACTAAAGTATATAAATACATAAATATAAAAATATAAAAATATATAAATATAAAATACTAAAGTATATAAATATATAAATATAAAATATATATAAATATAAAATACTAAAGTATATAAATATATAAATATAAAAATATATAAATATAAAATACTAAAGTCTATAAATATATAAATATAAAAATATATAAATATATAAATATATAAATATATAAATATAAAATATATATAAATATAAAATACTAAAGTTTCAGAAACCTCGGATATAAAGGTAAAATGAGGAAACTAAAGAGTTTCTTTTAGCAACAGTAATTTCTGTAAGAAACTGGGCGTGAAACAATTAGTCGAGAAACGTGTATCGACAAAGCTTGAAACAATTTTTCCACGGTTTTATTTCTACTCTCGATTCAAACTAATTTTACTCTGGCGTCGATCCAACTCGAGTTTTCTGTGAATTCATATAAAACGTCGTTTCCTTCTTCCAAAGTTTCCACTAACTTTTCGTTCGTTATCAACTTTTTAAATTTATTGTTAATTCTTTTTGGAAAAATTCATTCATTAACAGAGCGAATGTCGAGTGACTGCCATTTTATGGGTCAATGTGCATTCGGTATAAATATCTTATAGATTTATTATTGATTTATTAGATTTATTGATTTATTTATTAGATTTTCTTTATTTATAGATTTATTAGATATTTATTAGATATTTACTGACGTATTTAAAAATTTAGTATATAGATATTTATAAATCTTATACATCATGTATATAGACATTTATTTATCTATTCAAAAGATTGTTTGTTAACAGAATGAATATCATCAAACTATACCGCACATAACATAACACAAAACAATTAATTTTATTTTAGAAATATTAAATATTCTAAATATTATATATTTTAGAATATTATATCAATTTTTTGAATAAATCAAAAGGAAGCATTCCAAAATCAAGCAAAGTCGAGTCACTTTTAACTTCATAGTCAAATAATATTAATAGTAATAATCTTCTGCACTTCTGAATACGAAAATAATATTAATAGTAATAATTAAAAATTAATAGTAATAATCTCCTGCACTCCCTTTCTCTTCTCATAAATATATTTCGAATTTAAACACTGAGGCTACTTTCATATTGCTGGAATTGTATGGATCTAAATAAAGGTTCGACGCACACACGTCGACTAAAAAGATATCCAAAAAAGAAAAAAAAAAAAAAAAAAGAGAATATTAACTTAATTAGAAGAAAAAGATTCCCCCCTGTACTCTCGATTTTCCTCTGGTATTAAATCGCAATAAAAGATCGTCTGAGATGCTGTTCGCTATTTTCAAACTAAAAACGAAAGTGAAAATCATGAGTCACGATACGTAGCCAGCCAGCTTTCGTTGCTCGTTTCTTCAGCAAAGGCTAGAAACAACTACGAATAAGCGAGGCCACTTTAATTACAGGCCGCGGCATCGGAACCACATCGAAATCAATGATCGTCCACCGGTCGTTGAAGGCAACCTGTGACACAACGTGACTAACGAAAGACGCTCGATGGACGCGACCGATATAAACACACAGTATATAATGAAACGCGTGTGGCATCGCGGCCGGCAAATAAATGCAAGATTAATGGCCGATTTCACCGCGGTTCGGCTAAATTTAGAAACCGCTGATTTATAGGATCCCACCGTTACACCCTGTGGGAACCGAGATATTATTGTCGCGTCAATTAAACGAAACGCGTTAATCGCAATTCGCATACGCGAGGCATTTAACGCTGATTGCCAGTTTCGCGTGTGCCCACGACATTACTTGGCGCTAATTCATCCGTCAAGAGTTCCATTTTCTTTGTTGAACACCATTCCCCAGCGTGAAAGCTGTGATTTATTTCTTATTAACATTAAAAAAAAAAAAAAAACTACCAAGGACTAAAGCATAGAATTTTCATCAAAAAAAAAAAAAAAAAAATAGAATACACAAACTTTTATTCGTGTATTTTATAAACCTCTAAAAGTACACTACTTTGCATCTGTAACGTATATAATATCTAAAAAAATATATAGTATATACTAAATATATAGTATAAACTAAAAAGTATATAATTAATATCTAAAAAAAAATTATGAATTAGTCATTTTTGCCACTCTGGTGGTTCTAGTGTTAACGAGCGTGACGAAAATAATAAAGATTACGAGCGTTTACATCTCGCGTCTCTCCTTGCGTTTTTTTTTTTTTTTTTTATATAGAGGGTGGTCGGTGTTTCTTAAATGGAATCGCACAATTTTTAATTCGAGTTCGAACATTCACTGTGTGTTCTTAATATTATTTCGATTTATATACATGTCCGTTTAAGAAATAAAATTTTTAACAAATTTATATGAACTTTGCCCATTATAGTTTATATTAGAGAATATGTACATCTTATTAGTAAATTATCCCATGAATAATAATAAAAAATAATTGTAAACGCAGTTTACAAGATACGATGTCTTCCTTTTTTAAAGAAAAACATGAGAGAACTCCACATTTAATTGCTATTTAACTTCTCATTGACTTTTCGGTGACACTGATTTAATGTGAATCGAATAAATAAATTGTCCAATTTAATATTACTGGAATACATGGAACAATGGACGTTATATTACATATTATAAATGAATTTGCAAAATTATGATATATATCACAGATTTTATAAAAATAATGTGTTCGAGAACCATCGATTTAGATACTCTAACTATAATTCTGCAAAATTTGTCGCAGGGACAATATTCTTATTCGTATTGCTCTCGTTTTTCATGCGATCGATTCTCGAAAATTAAAATTGAAATATCTATCAAGCTAACGGTTTCTTAACATGAACACATAAATAAACAGATTACATATTACTTAAGATTCATACAATTTTGTAGAAAATAATGTAATGCGTCGATCATTGAATTAAAAATTATATGACACAATTTTTTTTTTTTTTTTTTAAGAAAACGTAAAAAACCAACTAATTTTATTAACTAACTAAGTAATTTTACTAATTACTAATCGGTCTGTGATTCTCTCAAAATCATTCGCTTTCTACTTGAACCTGAGATTTCAATTTGCATCAGTAAGATTCGAAACGAACGCAGCAACAATAAGATTTCAAATGGGCACGTACGGTTAATTAAGTTTCAAACGATACGCTTGCTAGTTGTACGCACTTCTACGTTAATAGCTCGTTAGATTCTTAATTTCTCTCGACAGATAAACTTTAGGGGGAGTCTAATCTCAAACGAGAATAAATATACAAAGTAATCTGAACTTTTCTCCCTGGGGTTGATGCAAAAGCCCGAGATTGTTTAGAAAATAAACTATCTCAAGATAGTTTTGCTTGAACTGTATGATAACGATGACGTGATGTTTTTCTACTACTACGATGTAGTATAACAAGACACATTAATACACATTGTGCAGAGGAAAGCGTGCACGCTCGAGAAGTTTTTCGCGGATGTGTCAGCAATCGAGAGAAAAAGGAAGAAAAAAAAAAAAAAAAACGAAACGGCAGATTATGAACTTCCTAGAAACCACAGTGAAAAAATAAACGAAAGAAAAACGCTTCATAAAATTTCACAAATTCATCACCGATACCCGTGTAACGCTATGAAATATGTTCCGGGTCCGTGATGTGTCATTAAAATCGAATTTCTTGATCGTTCAATCAATCTCCGCGATTCCATTCGAACCCTTCTGCAACTCTACACTTCTAACCAATTTTTAAAACATTTCGCACGTCCCAAGAAGTCATCAATCACTGACAAACGCTCGCCAGATCTAAAGCGGACAGCTGAAAAATCGACCAGCTGATAATTCACCCATTCAAGCGATTATTTCGTAATCTCTGCTGATCGATCAGCTAGCTACGCCCGTAAATACGTAAATAAAGGTCAGCAGGATCAGCGGGCCAGAACGACCGATCCAAAGAATCGGTTGTTCGCGAGGAAAAGTAAATTGCTCACGTTCTTTTTGGCTGGTCTGCGGCGAGGAGTCAGATAATAGTAGCTTTTGCTCATGTTTCGAAAACTCGATCGTACCAGTATGCCTCGATTATTCGTTCACTCGATCTCGAAGGAATCACCTTCGCCAAACCAACGACCGAACTAAAAGAATCACGATCGTTTCAGACTCGAGGACCACCTTCGCTTCAGAATGCTTCGTTGAAAACTGAGAGGACGACCGATGCCTCCTAGGTAAGACTGCCAGCTAGGCGAGACTACCTGAACACGATTCAAATTTGAGGATTCCGTAGCACGGAAATTACGTTGGCCCGGAGAAAAGGTTCGGCAGGGTAACCCCCGCAGGATAATAGAAGAAAGGTGGATGTTTCAAGGACAGTCGCAACTGGTA